CCATTAGCTTTAGGGAAAGAATTTGAGTAACTTTGATGAAGGAATTGAGAGCTAAATCGTCATAGAACAAGCTGCCCAAGAGATTGAAAATTTGGTGTTACGGGTAACTTGTAGACCGAATGTGATTCTCGAAAATTGAGAACACACGCTCAAAGTCGTTCCTACAAACCAATTTTTTAGCTTGAGGGAAAGATAAGGTAGAAGTTCTATAAACAAATCGAACCTTGAAAACCTTTAGAATAGACTGTCGAATAAGAAATCCTCTGTTATTGCTCCAGCGAGAAAACTTATTTTGGATGAACTTTTGAGGCAAATATCGTAGGCTACAATCTACGAGAAGGTATGAACCCAGTACCTAGCTCTTCCTTGTAACACCATCTTTAAGTTTCATGAAGAAATCGAGGACAGAAATGCTAAAAGTTGAGCTGTGGAAGGTGATTTTCAGACGGCGGCGCAACGCAAAACAAGCGACTTCTTCCTGTCCAGAGGAAGAAGAAGATGACGAGGCCAATTCAACTAAACCGCCCAAGTCAACCCAAAATGTGACCTTCCCTCAATTTTTCTCAATTTTAGCCCCCTTCCAGATCGGTTCTCAAGCAAATTTTATGGTTTCAAAAATAAAACACAATAAGGAGTCTATGGAAGAAAATTTGAGGTATTTTAGATACTGGAAGCTCGAGAACAAAGGTCCTGAATGTCAACGACAAGGTAAGTAACAACCTTGAACTTTTTCTAAGAAATGCTTGTAAAAATCGTTTGGATTTCTATATGAACCCTAAAACAAGCATGAATTATGGATATATGAAAGAAAAACTCAAAGAACCGTGAGTTAAGGCCCTGAACCGATCAAATTGCTTGAAATTTAAGTAATGTTAAAATAACCCACTAAATAAACTTCGCTGCCTATAAAATTTTAATGTTGAGCATATTATGGTATTTAAGACTATATATGAAATTTGGTGGTCATTCGATAAGGTTAAGTAGGTAAATCAAGAAAGGGTGTAAAATGACTATAATTCTCCTAAGGTAATTTACCTTCAGTTCATGACCTAGATGACCTCTTGTAGTAGATCTTATTTTATGATGTTTGATGATGTGGTAAAGTTTGAAAGCTATTAGAACTCGTTAAGTACCAAAACCAAGAATTAGGAGTTAAATGATCAAAATGCCCCTAAGACTACTTGTGATATTTCAAGGTCTAGACGTGCTCTAAATGACCTACTATTTTTATAAGGTCTATTATAAAGAAAATGGGGATAAGTTCGAAATTTTAAGTTGATTGGAGCAAGTTTGGAACCTAAACCAAGATAGAACCTAAAAGACGCCTAAAGGAAACACCTCAAGCCTCAAGACACTTCTAGAACCCTCTAAAGAATTCATTATGACTCTATGAATTTCAAGAATAACTCATTCCTATGATGGTTCATATGTTTATAAATGCATGTTAAATCTTATGCCTCAAAGAATTATGAGCCTTAAAGAACAATATCACACAAGCTCTACAACTACCAAAGTAAAAAGAATGCTAGGTACCACTCAGGATAAGGACCAATGTCCTCAGACACGAAAACTCAAGGATGCTAGGTAATACTCTAGTCATGTCCAAATTGACCCATGACCTCCCACCATGCAGGCCCAAGTTTTCCTCTTCTAGGTGGGATCCCTGCACCATGTTTCCTTTGCAGGATGTCATGTTTGGCCTCATGTTTCCCTCACCTAGATGAGATGTCCTATACCATGTTATGGGGACCCAAAGATTTGCAGGAAACCATGTTCATGTATGCACCAATCACATGACCTTTATGGTCCATCATGGGGAGTAATCTAGAGTCACAATGGAACAAGAAGAAAGTAAGTTACCTTAGCCAAGAATCAGGAACCTCCTAAGACCTCCAACGGTGCATTATACTTATGACTTAGACTATGCTGCTTGAAACGTATGAAGCCTTGAGCGTAGGTTTTCAGACTATGCCGCTTGGAACGCATGAAGCCTAGGACATAGGTTTTCAGATCACTCAAAGGGCAAGCCCAAAGATGCGGGTTCAGATTACATCACTTGGAACACATGAAGCCTTGGACATAGGTTAAGACTTTGTCGTTAGGAATGCATGAAGCCTTGGATATAGGTTGTTAGATTCATGAATAGTACTGCAAGTCCTAAGGAGAGTGTCTTAGAGAACGAATCAAGAACATAACAAAAACCCAGAAAGTACGAAAAACAAGAGAAATAGGAAGGACTAGATCATGGATCAAGATCCAAATCCTAAGGACAAGAACCAAGAACCATTTTATTAAGGCTCTTAGAGGATAACCAAGGTTTTAGAATCTAAAGACCAAAGTCCTCAAGATAAATCACGATAAGAACTCCAAGTCAAGAACAAGAACTAGAGGGCCTAAGTACTTAGCACAGAACAAGAACAAGAACACGAAATAGTATGGTACCGTAACATATCAAGGACCCGATTAATAGCCTACAAGTAGGCTATTTACTGAGTCTCATACTCATCTCTTATTTTATATATTTTTTTTTTGGTAATAAGGAATTGATTGAGGTCAGGAGCAGAATCTGGAGCAGGTACCATAGACAAGCCTCACCCGTCGTCCTCAACCCTTTTATTTATAATGTTTTGTGTTCGTTCCTTATTTTGTGTTTTAACTATTGTGTCATGTTTTAATTAATCATGTATGAACACTATTTTGTTTTAATTAATATTATGTTTTAAGTATCGTTTGTTTTATTTCGCGAAAGATTTATCCATCTTTTTGGAGTCATCGAGTCAGCCCAGTTCTTACAAAAAACAATGCAACCATCAACCCAATTAAAGAATTTGATTCCAAGTTATCTTCTAATAGAGGGAGACTCAATTAGTCTTTGTTGTAAGATTTGACTATATCTATTTGGGTAGCCTTCAGCCATAACTATAAATATCGTACTCCAAAATATTCATGAACAAAGTAAATTGTTTAAAACTATTGGTCAAAGATGTTCCAGAATGAGTTGTGGGGAAGTGTTTCCTTCGAATCTAATTCCAATTACGGTTGTCAATGAAGAAATAGTGCAAAGAGCCGGAAGGTTTGCAGTGGAAGAGAATAACAGGATTCATGGACATCGTTTTATTTACAAGTGTGTGGTAAATGGTCTATCCGATCCCAAGATAAACGTTGAGCCTAGATTTTATATATTGTGATAGAAGTTATAAATGATGATGGTATTCTTTGGTCATATATTGCAAATGTGAAGTACTATGTGCTTCACTTTAAAATTCACATTTTTTTATCCTTTGAAGATGTCCTCAAGGATTTCAACAGTTGGACTGCTCTCTGTCACACTAAGCCTTCTCTACCATGAGCACTACTCTCTCTTAACTATGAAAATGGCAAAGGCCACAGTAAAATAATCACACAGTTGTCTATCTATATGTATACTTATCTTTTTTTTTCTTTTTCTCTTTTTTTCTTTTCTTCAAATTCTGTAAAACTCAATTCTTAATTATGCACATTAAGGTATTACCAAACATCCTTGGCTAGCTAAGTGAATATGACCATTACAAGTAAAAGGACTAATTTATTATACAAATTCTCTACTTTTATTTTGGATATGCTTACTATCTTCCAACATGTTTAAAAAACGATATGACTGATATTTTTGTGAGACAATATGACTAGATATGTTTGTGAAACGATATGACTATGATATGTTTGTGAAACGATATGACTATGATATGTTTATGGAACGATATAATTATGATATGTTCATGGAACGATATGATTATGATATGTTCATGGAACGATATGACTACGATATATTTATGAAATAATATGACTACGATATGTTTATGAAATGATATGACTATGATATAGTTATGATATGATATGTGTGATATGTTTATGAAATCATATGACTAAGTATGTTCTGAAATGATATGACTATGAAATATCGTGATATGTTGCACTAATGTTATGACATATATTATGATATGACATGTTGATGATACGATATAAGTTATGGTGTAACATGTTTGACGATACAAAACATGTTGTGACGTGTTGTATGATATGGTATGTGCATAGTATGATATGATATATATAAGACCATGTATGATATGAATGATACGAGATTCAACCCTGGAACATGCCTTAAGACTATGCTGAAAAATGATATGATGTGAAGGAAAATGGAAGTGGTTGTTTTTACATGATAATGAACGAAGATCTTGGGATATCATGCATCATTGTGGGTTCATGCATCGGTGAATATCCCCTTATTATGATGGTACGAACACATACGTTACAAGGAAGGAAAACGATCATTATGTTTATCATAATGCTGTGACGGTCGCTATTCCTAACGAATGTCTAGCAGCAACAGCTCCATAGAATTCTAGCCTGACCAAGAAAGTGGTCTACAGGAGTTGTGTGAACCGACTGGTGATCTCATACTTGTACGTGTGGACCGTGTGTAGAACAATAAATACACATCCAATTACCCGTTTAGGATAGCTTCCTAAGGCAATATAGACTAAAAGAATTGGTCTCATTCATGATTGTATGTTGATATGAACCAAGACATCTCAATCATGCAATATTAATGCCACGTCAAGAATAAGCAATCTTCATTTATGCAACAAAGACTTCAAGTTCAGCTTCATTTATTCTTAGATGGTTACAAATTTATGATGGATGATAATCTAGAGTTATTGTGTTTTTAAAATGTATTTTAAGACTTATTTACCTAGTAGCTAATTATGACCATAAAGTATACATAGTGGTTAATTATAGTCATAAAGTAGGAAAGTTACAACTCTTGAAAGCCTCATGCAAGGTTTTTTAGTTTTCATTTTGAGGCTATATAAAATCATGTATGTTATCTTTGTCAAATATACTTGGAAAATGTAGTAAAAGAAGCATTTGTGTTTTCATTTAGCTAATGACTAAATTTCTTTGCAATTCTATGTAATTTAGGTTGCATGTAAAATCATTCAAGTCCAACATGATCAACCTTGCTTGTGGAGTGATTTGAATCTCAAACAAGTGTTCTTGTCTTGAGATATTTGATGAACATGGTAATTCGAATCTTACTTCCCTTGAGGGATGAGGCTCATAGATCCCATTACAGTATCGAAGGAACTTCGAGTGGTAGTGATTTCTTGCATTGGTGTCTTCCTAGTATTCCCGACACATGGAACATGATTCTTCTTGCTCAAATATAGCTTGCTTTGTCTTAAAAGTTCACTTTTGAGTAATCCAAGAAGGCATCTTAATTTGCAGCCTCTAGTGAAGATGATCCCTCTGAGGTGGGTTTATTAGTGAATATGCAATTGTATAATCAGGGTTTTATATCGGTTAATGGTTCCATTTATATCTATAAATGAAATATATGGTGCATTCTTTGGAAATTCAACAATAATCATCTGATTATTTGGCTACCCTTATATGGAAATTCAACATTCGACCTCTTGTGTCCTCGAAACTACTTGCAAGGTATTGTTGATTATGATCCATAATACTCAACTAACTCAAAATTGAGGTTCATTCATCTGTTAAAAATGTGACAAACCAAAAGAAAAATGGTAATAAATATTATTTGTGATTTATATAATTACTGAAATTATCTTACCTACATGTTGTTCTGAATTCTTCACCTTGAATACATATTTTTCTTCAAATTACTTTTTAATTCTTGCCTAATTTTATAGTGCACCGTTAAATCACAATATTGCGATATTTTAAGTTATTTTTAAGATTAAAAGTCATTGAATAAAATAATTACCGTAAGTTCTTTCTATCCATCTTATTTTATTTTGATTGAGTATATGCTTCCTAATTATTTTATTTATTTTTTATAAATTATGTTCTAAAAGATCATAAGAAGTATAAGCATTTTAATTCAAACAATATTTAATAATTAATCATTTCAATATTTGTGCTCAATCAGGTGATATATTGAAGAAGTAAATTATTTTAAGATAAAAAGCATATCCGAAATAATATTAGAGAACTTGCATAATAAATTAGTCCTTTTTACTTATAATCCTTTGTATGTACTTAGTATGATAAATGAAGGTATATGCCTAATTAAGAGTCGGTTTGACAAAATTTGAGGAAAAATAAAAAGAAAAATGAGATAATTATGTATATAGATAACTATGTGATTATTTTATTACGACTTATGTCATTTTCATAATTAAAAGACAGTAATGCCTGCATATGTAGAAAGAGGGCTTAGAATAAAAAGGGAGGGAGAGCCGTCTAAAGCTTGTTGAAATCCTTGAGAACATCTTCAAAGGAAAAGAGAAAGGGCGCTCTCCTAAAAATCCAATAATACTCCACTTTTGCAATATATGAACATGGATTATCATCGTCGTCTATAGCTTCTATCACAATAATATAATGTTTGGGTTCAGCATCTATATTGGGATTAGACAGACCATTCACCACACGCTTGTAAATGAAATTATGTCCATCCCTCCTGTTATTCTCTCTTACAGCAAACCTTCCAGCAGCTTGCACTTTTTCGTCATTGACATCCTTAATTGGAACTAGATTTGAAGGGAACACTTCTTCCTGACTCATTTTGGAATACTTTTGATAGATAGTTTCAACAAACTTATTTTGCTCATGAATATTTTGGAGTTCGATATTTATAGTCATGGTTGAACGCTGTTCAAATTGATATAATCGAATCTTACAACAAAAACTAATTGAGCCTTCGTCTATTAGGAGATAGCTTCGAATCAAATTCTTTAGTTTGGATAATTTTTACATTGTTTTAGTCAAACAACCGAAATTAGTGTATTACCAAGAGTACAAACATTTTGTAGGTATATTTTTCACTTTTAGTAGTAAATTACATATTAACCTAGTAGGTATCCACAACCTTTACTCTAGACTCTCAAAAGTTCGGGCCTAATCTCTATTGTTACCTAACTATCTATGGTTGCTTTAAAGTTCCTAACAATACTTCAGTACTCACAACCCAAGCTGGTTTTGACGGTGGTTCATCATTTTCTTGAATCACGAATCGGTTCACTGTAAAAGAAAATCTACATATTAATTTTTAATTTGTTAATATTATATTTATTTATTTATAATTAATTTATTTGTCTTTTTTAAATATATTTATAAATGCCTACTTTAGAATGTGACGTAAGCTTTGAGTGAAATGCATACGCTATACTGTGTTGTTTGTTGTTGAAATTAATAAGTTGGAATAATAAATATTCCCTAAATCTAAATATAGAAGATAGTTTAATGTTTAAAAATTAAATATTTTTTTATATGATAAAAAATAAATACACGAGAATATTGGAGTGTCCATCCTTTTGAACTTTCAACGCAAACATATTTGTTCAAAAAAAAAAAAAAAAAAGACAATATTTTGTTCTTTTCAATCCAATTTAAGATCACTAATTTTAATGGAGATTTCTGATCACAAATTTAATTAACTTTCATTGCATACAACTATTAATAAAATGTAATTTATTACTAAAACGAAAAAATGTTTGTACTATTGGTAATACACTAGTTTCGATTGTTTGACTAAAATTGTAACACTAAAAAATGAAGAAAATTAGCTCTAATGATGTTAAGTTTGACATCATGTTTCTCTCACCTCGATGAGATACCCTGTGTCACGGTCATGCTCGTCCAAGGCGTGTTGCCCATGGCTGCATGCCCGTGATAAGCCAAACTCTTTATGTCTTTCCATGTTTTAGTGTTTTACTTTTGTATTTTCAGGGATTATGACGTTTTTGAAAATTCATGTCTAGGCCTGCAAGATATGAAATGCCTCAAAATGTATGATAGGGGGGTATGACTAGTTGTCAACTTCTCCCTACTCGATAGTTATATGTAGTAAGCCATTGTTATTGTCTTTTGCTTACATTTCCATATAACACCAATTTCAATTTCTCAAATCTTGCTTTCAAAACTCTCTTTTGAAATCTCTCTACCAACGTTTTCTAACACTTTCTTTTGGAACCAGGGTAAGAGGCTCGAGCATACACCGTTTGGTTGTAGGCGATGCAAGAACGAATAGGCTTAACTCACTTGTTGCTAGGAAGTGAGTGCCACACAATCGCAAGTCCCTGCCATCAAAGTGCGATTGTGACACCCTGGATCATGTTATGGGTACCCAAAGATTTGCAGGATGTCATGATCATGTATGCATCAATCACGGGAACCTTATGGTCTATCATGGGGAGTAATCTAGGGCCATAATGGAACAAGAAGAGAGTAAGTTACCTTGGCCAAGAATCAAGAACTCCCTAAGACCTCCCACGATACAACATGCTCATGACTTAGACTACGTTGCTTGGAATGCATGAAGCCTTGAGCGCAAGTTTTCATACTATGCCGCTTGAAACGCATGAAGCCTTGTGCATAGGTGTTTAGACCGTATCGAATGGCAAGCCCTAAGATGCGGGTTTAGACTACATCGCTCGGAATATATGAAACCTTGGACGTAGGTAAAGACTATGTCGCTAGGAACGCATGAAGCCTTGGACACAGGCTCCCAGGTTCATGATTAGTATTGTAAGTCCTAGGGGGAGTGTCTTGGAGAACGAATCAAGAACATAGCAAGAACCTAGAAAGTACCAAGAGCAAGAGAAAGATTAAGGACTAGAACATAGATCAAGATCCAAGTTCTAAGGACAAGAACCAAGAACCATAGTACTAAGGCCCTTAGAGGATAACCAAGATTTCAGAATCTAAGGACCAAGGTTCTCAAGATAGATCATGATAAGAACCCCAAGTCAAAACACAAGAACTAGAGGGCCTAAGTACTTACCAAAGGAACAAGAACAAAAAAATAAATTTTGTGGTACCCTAGCATATCAAGGACATGATTAAGATCTTAAAAGTAGACTACTTACTGTGTCTTGTACTCATTCCTTATTTTCTATTTTTTTTCAGGTAATAAGAAGTTGGTTGAGGTCGGGAGTGAACCCTGGAGCAGGTGTCATAGACAAGCCTCACCCATCGTCTTCAACCCTTTTGTTTGAAAATATTTTGTGTTCGTTTCTTATTTGGTGTTTTAAATATTTTGTCATGTTTTAATTACTTTTGTATGAACACTATTTTGTTTTAATGAATATTATATTCTAAATATCGTTTGTTTTATTTCTCGAAAAATTTACCCTTCTTTTTGGAGTCATCGAGTTAGCCCAATCCTTACAAAAACAATGCAACCATCATCCCAATCAAAGAATTTGATTCCAAGTTATCTTGTAACAGAGAGCTCAATTAGTATATGTTGTAAGATTTGGCCATATATCTATTTGGGTATCTTCAGCCACAACTAAAAACATCGAACTCCAAAATATTCATGAGAAAAGTACCTTTTTTAAAACTATCTATCAAAGGTATTCGAGAATGAGTTGTGGAGAAGTGTTACCTTCGAATCTAATTCCAATTAAAGATGTTAATGAAGAAATAGTGCAAAGAGCCGGAAGGTTTGCAGTGGAAGAGAATAACAGAATTCATGAACATTGTTTCATTTACAAGCGTGTGGTGAATGGTATGTTCGATTTCAATTTAAATGTTGAGCCTAGATTTTATATTATTGTGATAGAAGTTATAAATGACGATGGTATTCCTTAGTCATATATTAAAAATGTGAAGTACTATGTGCTTCACTTTAAAATGCACATTCTCTTATCCTTTGAAGACGTCTTCAAGGATTTCAACAAGCATTAGAGTGCTCTCTTTTTCACACTAAGCCCTCTCTCTATATATGAAGAGCGTTACTGTAATGCCCCTAATTTTCTTTAACTTAATTAGTGACGTACTCATGCATACTTATCTCATTAAGCGAAAGCTCATCATAAATAACCTTGAAAGAGTCTTTCATAAATATTTATGAATCCAAAACAATACCTAAACTCCGAAAATAAACCTTTCAATACTGAATTCAAAATAAATCCAAATAAAACAATACTCAATCCTATAACTTAAAACAGCCTAATAAAAGTAAACTCCTAAAAATATCCCGTCTCCAACTTCCATGGTGGCCTCAACTCCGCCGTCAACCGTACATTGACGCCTTGCCTTTACCTGAAAAATGTAGGTAGCACGTGGCTTGAGTATTTTATGAAATACTCAGTAAGTAACTCCACTGTTGGGGTTAGGAATGTAAACACATGCAACATATGGGCGGGACCTAACTTTTCATAAACTTTTCATAGCCTTGGGCGCTTTTCTATTCCGGGTTGGGTTGGATGTGTGGTACTCCTTCACACATGGCCCATGTACGTGTACATGAACCCACCAGGCGAGCTCATAAACATACCCCCTGGGCCTGACTTGGTCGGGCACAATGTGTTACACGTAGCCGGACACCACAGAACAGAAAAGAGCCCGCATGATATCATGGCGAACATAAATATTGTATTTCATTCTTTTGTATCATAAAGGGGAAGAATCCCGATGCACGTGACATACATATATGCATGAGGTCCCTTAACATATCTAACATGACATTACATTACATGACATATTACATAAACATTCCAGTTGCATAAACATCTCATGACATGACTCGATAATTCTACGTGTATCTATGACATCAATCAACATATTCATGGCATATAATACTAACATCTCATCCATGACATAACATAAACAGTCAACAGTCAACCCAAGTTCATACATCACATAACATACACAATCTACGGTCAACACAATCTATACATCACATAATCATATCACATAAAATATGGTGCATGCAGGGGCCACAGGGCACGCACCATCATACAACACATAGAAAGCTAACTCCAACAGTAAGGTCACTTACCTCGATGGTCTTGGTTGAAGTCACTCACAACGAGCTAATCCCAGTGGTTAAATATGTCCTATGATAACCACATAAAAATTTAGAACCTTTCATAAGGTACCCTAGCTAAACCTCATGCTATTTATCAAAATAAACCCTCGACCTAATCTGTCTTTAACGTTTAGGAGCCATACTGACCTCGGATGGTAAAACTAAGGGCAGAAACAGCTTCGGAAGGGTCAAAAACCTTGGAATCGATATATTATAGTGATACCTTGCCACTAAGCCTAGTTGCCGAGCCAGCCAACTAAGCCGCCAAGTCGAGCTGCGGGAATTGACGGAGCCGAAACGATTTCGTACACGTGCGAGCCGACCCGCACTGTGTACGCGTGCGAAGCTGCCGGAGCTGCTAGGTGTGCGTCTGCGGCTCGACCCTATTCCAAAAACCTTGCCTTCCCGACAAGTGACAAAACTCTAGTTTCTGCCTACCCGATTCCGGCAGCGCGCCGACAATCCCACAATGTCCTCAACACCGATTTCCAACGGTCAACCTTCTTTGACACAATGATCCCAACATCAATGCCTTACTTCTACTCGATTCTTCCTCCGGAGAGCAACCCAACGTTCCGTAGGAAAGTTTGAAGAGAAAATCGTTTTCAAGGGAAGTAAAAGGTTGGGCATGAGAATATAAAAATAATATGAAGACATTTTCATTCTAGGGTTTTAGGATAAGAAAATTCAGAGAAATAGAAATGTTTCTATTAAGTAATAAAAGTATCGCAGGAAATCCCTCAATTTTAGGGGGATTACACCTAATTATTTATTCTATTTTTATTTAATTTTATTTTATTCTACAAAACCCAAACCGTTACGATTTCTAATAACTTTTAAAATTGCACCTTTTCTGGAATAAATGCATAACATAATATCTTGTCGTTTATAGAAATAAAAATAAAATCTTAACCAAAGAAGGTAAAAATGGAAAATCGGAATAGTTACAGTTACTCTCTCTTAACTATGAAAATGACATAGGTTAGAGTAAAGTAATCACATAGTTATCTATCTATATGTATATTTATTTATTATTATTATTTTTTTTGTCTACAAATTTATTAAAACTCAACTCTTAATTATGCATATTAAGGTATTACCAAGCATCCGTAGCTGAGTTAAGTAATATGACGATTATAAGTAAAAGGACTAATTTATTATACAATTTCTCTAATTTTATTTTGGATAGCTTATTATCTTCCCACCTTTTAATCTAATCCATTAACTCAATAACACAAAATAATATTTCTAAAAGACTTGGACATTTGTTTCATCTCCATATTAATTTTCATTAAGCTATTAAAACACTCTGTTCAAACCATGGCTTAAGCTTTTATCAAAATCTTATGTTCTAACTTGTGACTCAATTTTTATATGTGCGTGCTTCGAACCCACCTAATTAGGGTTTTAAAATTAGAGTTTCGGTTTTAGGCATGTATGTACACTTTTATAGGCCATATTTCTTCGAAATTTGGGTCTAATCATGGAATTTGAACCTTCCACGCTACAATGTCAAAAAATATCGACCACAACTCAGCTTTTTCACGGTATAACTAGCACTTAATTGATAATATGTTAGAAAACTTTATTTATTATTTTAATTACAAAATTATGTGCAGTGAGAAAAAGGGTGGGAATTTACTCGTAAAGTGGTCATAACTTCTATTTTTGTGGAGATTTAAAGAGTAGTGAGAGTAATTCACTAATCATGGTCACTAATTTCTTCCGTTTGCATTTGAAGACTTGGGATATTATTTTTGCAGAGAGACTATAAATACTCACATGTAAAACACATATTTTAAGGCATGAAATTTAGATCTCAAATGGAGACTTTTATTATTAGAAATTTGAGAATCATTTTTGCTTTAAGTTTCATGTAATTCTTGTGGTAGATTGCATCTGACTCATTAAATCATTGATCAAGTTTGACTGTGGAATGACTCAATTAAGAACAAAGGTTCTAAATCTTACTCCTAAATCTTTGATCTTAAGATGTAATCTAATTCTAGCCTTATCTCTTGGTTGATCCGACTTTTGTATAATGAGGTGTTAATTTCTCCGATTCAAGGTTCTTTCTTCAACAAAAGCTTAGATCATTGAGTTGAAAATTGAGGTTGCTTTATCAATTTAGTATCAAAGCCTACGTTAGGTTGCATTTTGTGACTACCCTATAATTGATTTTACTTTGATTTATGTCATGGTTTATCTTTTCTTTAAATTTGTTTTTGTT